CTCAAACTGCAAGCAGAAAGTGGGAATGGTGCTATGCGTTTTAAACAGTGTCTTATACGACGTTTTAAACAGTGTCTTATACGACGTTTAAAACAGCTTTGTGGAACTCAATGCAACACACTGCACACAGCCAACAAGTTTTCAATGTGCAAGTTGCCAATCCAGGTAGATAGATAGATAGATAGATAGATGTTTATTGTCGCTTGCAATCAATCTTTTTGTCGTCAGAGAGGATATTTTACTCTGGGAAAAAGTGCTCGGACTTGCGCTGGAGCTTGACTGGCGAAGCAGTATTCTGGTTGAGGAGCGCAAGAATCGCTTGCTGCGTCGCAAGCACTTGGCGCTGGACGTCTTCGATGCTCTTCTGCCGTTCCCGCAGCGATTCGTGCTGCTCAAAGAGCGCGTCGAGGTGCTTCTCGAGACGCGCTGTGGCCGGATCCTCCTTCTTGGCGAGGACTTCGAGCTTGCGGTCTGTGCTCGCACGCTTGGCGTCGCTCAGCGTCACGGGCGTCGTCATTGGCTTCTTATTCGTGTCTGAAGCATCGTCGTCGGGCACGAGCTGGAGCGTCGGGTCGGCCTTCTCAAGGGCCATCGCCCGGTGGTTGGGGAAGAACGACACGTCGTTCTTGGCCATCTTCATGGCCAGGTAGAGCTCGATGCCGTTGTACTCGGTGTAGTCCTTCTTGTTGATGTGCACGAAGAGATACAAATAATGCCACATGTTGTGCTCGAGGCGCGTGTGGTACTCGAACCCGCGCTTCGTGAGCCGGTCGAACGTGTAGCCGTCAATCGAGCAGATGAAGCACCGGTCCCGGAGCTCCTCGGCGCGCTCCTTGTGCGACGTGCGGATCGTCGCGAACGTGTCGATGATGATGCCAAAGGTTATGTTGAGCAAAATGACCATGAGGATGATGTTGTACGCATTGTCAAACCTAGTGTAGACCGCTGAGACACTACGAAAGGTTAGAGCGGCGTACACAAAACGGCCCGTCGCAAGCGGGTCGGTGCCGAGGGCCCGGGGCAGGAGGAAACCGCCGAGGCCGCCGTTGCTTTTGAAGGCCAAGTCGAAGGACGAGAGAAAGCAGAGGAAGAGCGTGCTGCAGCGCTGCGGTGCATTCGGGTTGGCGATGGTCTCTGGCGTATAATCGGGCCGAAAGTAGAAAAACCCAATTGTCGCAAAGATGTAGACGAGGAGCAAGTACAAGGCAAAGATGAGGAGAAGCGACTTGCCCGGCAGCACCACGGCTTTGAGGACGTTTTTGAGCTCCTAGATTGAGTTTTCATGATTTTTGTGATTTTTCTGAAATTTAAACAATTTTGTAGTTCGTACCTGGGACCGGTTGATAATGTCGAGGACGTGAAAGGCGAAGAATTGCACGTGAACATAGGTGCCCAGCACCGGGATCATGACCAAAAGACCATAGTACACCAGCCGCGGGTCCCGCAGAAGGAACCGGACTGAGACGACGACGTTGCGAACCCGGTCTTGCTTGGTGCGCAGGACCTAGCCCCAGTCATTGAAAAAACTCCAAAATAGATAGCCACGTACGTCTTCGTCACGGTCGCCCAAAAGCCGCAGGAGGTCCTCCACGTCCTGGAGCGACTCGGCGGCGTCGACGTCGCTGCGGGCGTGCGGCGTCGATGTGCCACCGATGGTGTTCTTGAGCTTGCGTTTCTCGGCGTGCCAGCCTTCCGTGATGAGCAGCGGCACCGTGTGCACCGCGTAGAGCACAAAGACGGTGGTGCAAAGCGCGACTTGGATCGACCCCAGGACCGTCAATAGCGCGTCAATGCCAGGTCCGTCCGTGGTCGCGCCGCGCTGCCAGGCCGAGTACGGCTGCGACGTGTTGGCGTCAGCGCGCAAGGTCGTGACGACAAGGAGGTTGATGAGGAGGGCGAGTACGAACGAGAGCACTTGGAGGCGGTGCGTCTGGCGCAGCAGCCACGCGAGCAGAAACTGCTGCTGCAGTTGGCTCTGGTACTCCATCTCGTGCAGTAAATTGGACGTGTGGGCGAAAAACGCGCTGAGCTTGGAGCTTGGATCCAATGGCATGTGGGTTTTGAGCCGGTCTTTCGAACGCTGCGTGACGCAGCAGCAGATCGGGTGGATGGGAAAATAGATCTGCACCAAATGCGGCACGCCGCGAAGGTGCCACACGAGCTCGACGCGCGCGCACTTGGCGTCAAAGAAGGCGTACGCCACTGCGTAAGCCGCGTCTTTTTGCTGCAAGCCCGATCCGAACTCTGCGTTCGCGGTCGCTTTCAGCCAGCGCGTGAACGCCTCGTACGTGAGGAGGCTAAAGCTCCGCTCGACCTGCGTCAAGTGCGACGCCGACTGCTTGGGGAAGAGCGTGTTGCCGAGCGACGGCTGGTATTCCATGAGGTGCTGGATCAGAATGTGCACGTTGAAGCCCAATGCCAGAAATGCGTCCGTGCTGCACGCCGTGTTGCCGTCGTAGACACCCTAGAAGACGACTTGTCCATACTGACGAGCCACGCCAAAGACGTACGTGGTACGTCTCTTGAAAATAGCGGTGGACATCGACCACGTTGTCCTTGATCGTGTCAAAGTTGAGTTCGGTGACAAGCCGGTCGTGGATAATGTCATCGGTCCGACCTTCAATGAGACTCAGGAGGCAGACCACGATCGCGCCTTTGAGCTGCCGCATGTGCAGACGCGCGTCGCTCTCGGGAAGCGACGTCACGACCAGCAGTTCGTTGACAACCGAAATAAACTTGTAGTTGGCGACGCACTCCTGTGCTTCATGACACGGACCCTACCCCGCGTGGTCGCAACGTCATCTAAAATGCAGTACATACCTGGCAAAACTCGGTGATGGTGTCAAAGAGCTGCTTGAACAACAGCACGTTGGCGCTGTTGAGGCTCGGGTAGATCTCGAGAAGAAACGACGTGGTGGCTTCGACGAGGTTGATGCTGCTCACAGTGCTCCCTTGCGCGAGCAAATACTGCTGCGTATGGAGGTAATGGCCCTCGCAGAGCAGCTGGAGGAACCGAAAGATCGCTACGATACTCGCATACGGTGCGTCGTCGGCCGGCTCGAGACGTCCGCTGCGCGCCTGGTGCGAGAGCCGGAGGACCATCGAGTGGGGCCGGGGCAGCTCATCGAGCGCGGGCACTTGTGCGACGGTCTTGACCTCGTCCGTCGCCTACGCCCGCATCACTTCTTGCACGAGGCAACGAGAGTCGACGCACGCTGTCCATTCGATGCTTGAGACGCTCAAAGAACTTGGTCGTTTTGGACTCGGTCCACGTTGCGTAAAAATTCTCTTGGACCTAGTTGGTCCAGTTTAGCTGCATGGATCAGCGTAGGAGGCGACGTACTTTGGCGTTCATGCCGTCGAGTAGGGCGATGCCGAGGGCGATGCTGCGGTCAAAGACAACTCTGTCGGTCGTCGAGCTAATGATGTTGACCACGAGCACGGTGAGGCCGAGCTTGTCGAGCTTCTGCTGCATCGCATGGCGTCGCGACGGCTCGAGCGACTTGATCATTTGACTATCATACCAGTTTTGTCTATAGTCAGTCTGTGTGTGGGACTATACCAAAAGATGTCGAGAAGAGCGACGCTCATCTTGGCATACTTGGCGTGCTTGAGCAGCTACACACTCGGTTTGCGTCGTCGCCGTCGAGTACGAGTGTACCTTGAAGTGCTCGATGAGCTTGAGGATGACGTCATCAAAGGTCAAGGACGACTTGGGGACATCCGAAATCGACTCGGCTTCGTCGCGAAGAGCGTCCTCCAAGTGCAAGATGCGCTGCATCATCGCGTGCAGCTCTGCCGACCGTGCGACTTGGGTCTCGGGGTCCGCTTTGACGAGCGCTAGAAACGTGTCGAGGACCGTACCGTCTTCACTTGCGACCACCGGTACCATCCCGCCATGCTTGGCGCCGTCCCACCTACTCAGCAATCATGACAACCTCTCTTTTTGCAAGCCGTGGCGCACCCGGCGTCCAGAGGTGACAGCGACAAAAACTGCCGACACCGCGCGAGCGACGATTGCCAGCGCGAATGTGGCGCCGGCGATTTCACCGGCGACGGTGGTGACAACGGCGTCGTGGCCTGTCGCAGCGGTCCAAGCCCTTTGGTGGGCGACGAGCGCGAGACGTGCAGCGCGTCTTTGGGCCGCGCTGTCAGCGACGTTCTCGGCGGTGAGGCCATCGCTGCGTCTGGGTGCTGCAGCTGGTCGTAGAGCGCCCGAAGGGTCTCTCTGGCGCTTGCTTCGCCAAGCACAATCGAGCGCAGTACGCGGTTCTGGCCCAAGTACGGCCGCTTGGGGCGCGCCGACGCTTCGTACGCGAGGTTTTCAAGGGCGCTCGGGTCGTTCTGGGCCGACGCAAGCTTGTCGAGGACCCGTGCGGCGGCGAGGAGAGCGTCTTGGTCGGACGGAGAGAGCTGCGCAAACGTCGTGGCCGTCACGGCTGTCGAGAGCAGCGAGAACAGCGTCTCGTAGAGGGAGATGAGCACGGACGCAGGAGCCGAGAGCTCGACTACGCACGCTTGCAGCGCCGGCAGCAGCAACGTGAGAAGGTGCGACTCGTACGGCGGATCGTCAGTCGCCAGCTTCTTGTAAGACGCCGACGCCACGTCGACCCAGATACGCCCGCCGTCGTACACGACATGTGCCTGCGGCGGTGTCAGCGCGGCGGCGTCCCTCTGCTGGAGGCAGCAGAGGTGCGCAAACGTGTCTAGTCAGTCGAAATTAAGTCCATCAATCGACTAGAGACTGCGCAATACATTCGACGAACAGCGTGTCGAGCGTCGTTACGATCTGATCGTGGGTGGCTTGCGGCTGCTGCGACCACGGTGGCGCCTCCGAGGTCAAGTAGACTTCCTTCAGAAACCGAGCAAGCGCCATGGCGACATTGCCGAGCCACGGATGCTCGTGGAGACTGCCGACGCAGGTCGACGCCGCCACGTGCAGAAGGCTCAGAAGCGAGTCGAGCGACAGGATCGACGCGCAGAGGTCTTTGAGCCGTGCGTCATTTCCCAAAGCACAGGACGCGAGCAAGTGCAGCACGTCGAGGTGGTAGGTCACGACCGCGTCTCGCTCCGTGCTCGGCTCGACCTTGGTCTCGGCGAGGAGAGTGAGAAACCCGGCGGGCGAGGCGCTAAGTAGCTGGAGGTACCCGACCTCGGGCTTGACAAGCTCGAGAAGAACGACGAGCTGGTTCTCGGGCACGGGCGCGTCCCCGACGCGGACGAGCGCTTCGAGGGCGTGAACGTACCGCCCTTTGGGCTGCTGGTGCACCTCGAGCTCGACGCGCCAGAGATCGAGAAAGTGCTGGAGGACTTTGACGGGAACTGTTTTGCAGAGGGGTTCGCTGCTGCCGTAGATGAGCGTCAGTACGTCTTGCGCCTCTTCGAGTTCCTCGACGAGGTCTAGAAGCGCCAGCGTGTGCTCGGCGAGCAGCGATACATTCATGCTGTTGGCCGCGCCAAACGCGTAGAAGAAGCGCAGCGCTTCGACAAAGACGGGACGCAGCGCGGCCTGCTGCTGCGGGCGGCTAAAGCTCGACGTCGCGTGCGCCGTCGGACTTGTCGCTCGGCTTGCATCCCCTAGAACGGACGGAAAATGGCTCTTGAAAAAGTGGTTGCCGTCCCGCAGCATGTCGAAGATCGTCTGCATGGCGTTGAGATTACGGAGAAGGCGCCGGACTTCGACTTGATGCGCACTCGCTGAATGCGTCGCCGGCTTTGGCGGCCCAATGGTGAGGCTGTGGCGGCGCTCCCGGATCTCGGGCACGATCCCAGACGACTGCAGAAGCGCCGTAAAGGAGGTGAGAAGGCCCGTGACCGAGGTCGCCACATTGAAATCGTCGGTTGACGTGAGGTTCATCCAGACTTCGGTCGTCTCGGCGAAATGGCACAATCGCTGCACGTCGGCTTGGAGCTGGCTGTAGATGCCGACGGTCGCGTCGTTGACGAGGAGGAGGACGTTGGCGAGTGCTTTCGTCACCTGCTCGTGCTGGTTGAACTGCTGCATGAGCAGCTCGAGCGCCTTGGACACCAGCGGCGGGTGCTCGTACATTAGCGCTTGCAGCAAGATCGTGTCGATCGGTCGGTGCGCGAGCTCCGAGAGGCTGTAGCGGCAGCGAAGGTTCGGTGTCTCAAACATCGAGCGCGCCAGCGTCGAGAGGGGCTTGGACGCGCTTCGGCGCCACCGGGGGGCGTGGAACGGCGGCTCGGTCGCCAGCGTCACGAGCACCGTCGAGATCTGCGCGTCGAGGCGGAGCGCGTCAACAAGCAGCAGTGTCGCGCAAATGTCGTCCTTGATCTCCATGAGCACTTGCGTGAGGTCGGTCATTTGGAACTTGGTCTTCATCGGAGGCTCCACGGGCGCCTTGAGCTTGGGCGCGTTGGTCGACCGTCGACGCCGGCGCGGGGACGCTGGCCTACAGCACCCATGAGTCGCACCGCATGCGATATAGACGCAGTGTACTCGAGGGACTTCTTTGTTGCGAGACGCGCGGGCTCGAGCGACGCCCGCCGAATGGCTTGGCCGCCCTCGGTTTGCTGGATGATGGCGTTCTGCGCCTGGAGGTCAAAGCGCGTCGACTCGGACGACCGGTGGAAGAAGGTGGGCGACACGATCACCTCGGTGGGGTCGACCAACTCCCGATGCGACTTGGTCGACGGCCGGTACCAGTAGTCGGTGCGGCTGTCGAGGAGCTTGACCAGCTCCAGCACAAGCGCGCCGAGTTCAGCGATCGACCGAAAGAGCCCGAACGCCACCATTTTTTTACACAGCCGGACAAACGCTAACGTCAGGTCGTTCTGTGCCGCCTCGGTGATGATGACGAGTCCATTTTGCTTGCGAAAGTACGTCATCGCGAGCGACTGGAGCTGCCCAAAGAAGGCCCAGTCGTCGGCAGAGTACATGCCATCTCGCGCGACCGGGAGCTTGTCTTGGTGCAACAACACCTCTTTCCAGATACGCGTGTAGTTGGGGCTCGGCAGCGGCGTCTGCGGCTCGCAGTCCAGGTGCAGCGCGACGAGGAGGTTCAGAAGCACCGCGCGGATCGACCGCGAGAGCGCAGCGTCTTGCACGCACGCCAAGAGACTCGCGCGCGGAAAGCTGCCGGCCAAGCACCGAATGCACGTGTAGTTGCGGTCCATACAGAGCGCGCAGTAAAGCTGCAGGAGGCCGTAAAAGTACGGGGCGAGCGTCGCATGCGACTTGTGGCTATAGTAGTCGTCAAAGAACGTGCTGAGCGAGACCCACTGGTCCGCGCTCGCGTCGACGCAGAGCTCGAGGCCCGATGGCGTCGGGCGCGTGTGCACGAGGACGGCGTCCGAGTAGCCGTGGCTCGGGTTGAAGAGCAGCTCGCAGATTTTTTCCTGGACCTTGGGGACTGCGTGGCCGTTGGCCGAGCAGAGCACGACAAGGAACTGCAGGTACCGCATCGCCTTGCCGTGGCGCCGAATCAGATCAAAGAAGTTGCGGACGATCGCGGAGAAGGACGCAAACGACTCGGAGAGGTGGAACTTCTCTTGGATCAAATATGAGAGCGGCACCGACGCCTTGAACCCATGTCCGAGGAGCGCGAGCAGGACGGGCATGGCATGCCGGCACGCCGACGTGTCGGACGTTTTGCTGCTGTAGAACATGCGAAACAAGAGGATGTTGATCGCGCAGAGCACGTGGTGCAGCTGCCGCATCGCAGTCGGCGGCCATTGAAACAGAGGCAACAGCCTCATATCGACGGGCGGGGGTGGCGGCGCGACACCAGAGCTTGAGCGCCCGCCCCCAGGCGACCGAAAGCCGTTGGTGTTGGGCAGAGCTTCGAGGCCGTCGCTCGGCTCGTCGGTGGGCTGGAACCCGCAGACGTAGTCGATTGAGAACGGACCGCCGTACGCTGCGAACGGCGCCTCGAGCATCCGCGTGAGCAGCGGCACAAACTGGTGCCGGTGCAGGAGCGTCTGCCGCAGCCATAGTACGTGGTCGGGCGTCTGCGTGTCGAGAAACGTAAACGTGTTGAGCTGGCTCAGAACGCGCTCGACGTCGTCCAAGCGCGGGTCCCCGCCCGACGCGCTGGCAAAGCTCGCGATGAAGCTCTCGCAGAGCGTACGGTAGGCGAGCAGCCGCAGCGTATCGTGGAGCTCCGTGGACGAGACAGACACGATCTTGAACGCGTCTTCGTCTTGCGGCGTCAAGAGTGTCACGAGAGGCGACGAGACGTGCAGATGGGCGCTGCTTCGCGTGTGCAGGTAGGTGAGCGTCTGCGCGTGCTGGAGCAGCACCGCGCTCTTGTGACCAATGGGGTACCTACGCCATATACGGCGTAGGGACAATGTAGTTGACAACGACATCGTACCGCGGGTTAACCAGCGTCGTGGGGCGTAGAATGTACGACGACTGCGGCACCGGGTTCGTGGCCACTCGGAGCCCTGCCTCCGTGTTCTCCACGTGCAAGTACTGGCCGGTAAGGACGTGACGAAGGCACACGCTGTCGGTCCAGTGCAAGAGGCCACCGTCGAGGAAGCAGCTCTTTTCGACTTCCCACAGCGTTTCGGGTGACAACTAGGAGGCATTTGAGCTGACGTAGCATATAAGGACATGCAGTACGAGGGGCGAGTTGGTGTCGGACGCGTCGGATGTGGCACTCGACTCGGCTCGAAGGTGCACGGCGCCACCGCCGCAGCCCAGCCACGCGCTCGTTTCCAAGTGCAGCAGTCGAATGCACAGCCCGGATCGAAGTCCGCGGCTCGTGTCGGGCTGGTACGTCGTTGCGCTCGAGACGTCCTTCTCCGAGTGGTCGTAGGGCGATAGGCGCCACTGGGACGAGTGCGACACGGACGCGTGCACGAGCGTCGACGCGCCGTCAATGGCGCTGCGGGTCGAAACATGCATCGAGAATCGCTGCGCCTTGTGCATCGCCGCAAGCACAATCTAGTCAACGCACCACATCTGGTTCCGTCCAGGACCAGAAGCGAATATCGTACTTGGTCCATGAGCTGGACAGACTCGCCAGTCTTTCGAAGCTTGAAGCGCGGTAGCAATGTGAGATGGCACGCCGCCGCGCCGTCCGACAAGACCACCTAATTCCACGGGATACAACACGGTTTGTCTGCAGAGAGCAGGTACCTCGAGGGTCTCCTTGTCCCTTGTTGGCTGCATGGTTATGTACTTGCCCGTCTTGATGTGCCGCAGTTGCACCGTCTGGTCTTTGAGCTGAGCCGATGCTATGGAAGCGAGCGTACCTGGCCGTACTTGACGCGCGTTCCGTGCAGCTTGTCGTAGACGTTGGCGTTGAGCCGGAGCTCCGACTCGCTCTTGAACTTGAGATCGGAGAAGGCGTCCGAGAACCCGGTCGACGTCGTGCTCGCATCCTCGGATGCCTTGGCTTCCTCGAACGCCGCGGTGGCTTCGTACGCCATCTTGGGCAGCACCTACGCGCCGTCTTCAAACCATTCGAGCGGGCAACTGACGTACTTCAAAGAGGCAGTCCTTGGTGTGGCACGCGACAACATAGACGTCCCGTTGACCCCCCGGGTCGGTGAGCTGCGCGTCAACGAGCTCGACCGTGGCTTTTAAGCTCTGCACGAGACCCTCGAGTCGCACCTCGGACGTGATGAGACCGTCGCCGGCGAGGAAGCCGCCGCGGTCCATGCTCAAGCACGACACGATCGCGCCGTAGACGAGAAAGCCGTGGCCGCCTGCGTGGCTCGAGGTCGCTTTGGACGCATACTCGCTCGGGACGCGGTCTAAGCTCGCCGGCAGGTTGCGCGGCGACAAGAGACCGTTGGGCGAGAGCGGCGTGTGCGCGGAAGGTCGGTGCTGCTCTTTTCGCAGCGGTGAAGAGAGCGGCGACTCGCCGAGCGTCGCGGCCGCGAGCGTCGCGTCGACGTTGAGGTTGCGCCGCTTGCTCGTGAAGCGCTGCATCTCCCGCCACAATATCCAAAACCTCCCACCCGAAAGGCCACTTGTTCGAAGAATCAATATCCTCGAATCGATCTGTCGCCCCAACAATATAAGTTCTTTGATATATCTCTCTCGGGTTTGTGCATCGACCAAACCGCTGCGAACGAACGGTTGACCGTTCGCGTCTCCTCGCCGATCGACGCGTCTCGCGAGCGTCGCGAAGCCGCAAGCGACGTGCCGAGCCTGCGCGAGAGGTACCGCCCACTCGCTGCTCAAGTGCTCGGGCGTCGCAGGTTCAGGAATCCCGAGTCGCGCGGTGCGCGTGCCACGTACAGTAGGTACTTTTTAGGCGAATTCGTGGCAAATGGTGTTTTTCACGTGTGAAAAACGTCAGAACCCGAGATGCTGCTTTCGCTGTACGTGATCAACAAGGCCGGCGGGCTCATCTACCACGAGGACCTCTCGGCGGAGGCGCCCAAGCTCAACGCGAACGACCACCTGCGCCTAGGCTCGACCTTCCACAGCATCCACGCCATCGCCGGCCTCGCGGCGCCGCTCCTCTCCAAGGGCATCGTGTCCATGGAGACCGACGCGTTCCGGCTGCAGTGCTTCCAGGCGCTGACGGGCACCAAGTTTTTCGTGACCGCCCTCCCGAGCATGGGCGCGCTCGAGCTCGAGGCCATCTTACGCAGCATCTACGAGATCTACGCCGACTACGTGCTCAAGAACCCCTTCTACGAGCTCGAGATGCCGATCCGCTGCAGCCTCTTCCACACCAACCTCCGCGTCCTCGTCGACCGCGTCAACGCCGACGCGCTGCGCCGCCCCATGTAGCGATAGCCATATGCGTCAACATGCTTCCATTATCCTACGTCGCCTCGTCGAGAAAGCCTGTCGTGGCGACCCATGCGCTGGCACAGCGGGCGCCCTCGTCGAGCCACGGGAGGCGGAAGGCCTCGTACTTGAGGATCGACTTTTCGAACCGCGAGAGCTTGGCGTCCGTTTGCAGCGTTGACGCGAGTGCAACTTGCTTCATTGCGCCTTCCTTCTTGCCGCTCTCGTAGACCTGCACCGTGCACCAGACCACGTCCAAGGTCAGGACGCAGCGCCGGGCCACGTCCTCCGCCACACCGGTCACACGCGCCGCCAACGTGCGCTCGCCAACGCACTCGAGCGGCTCTTTGACGCTCCTGCCCGACTTGCCGCGGCGCTTGTCCTCTTCGACCGCCGTCCCGTCCTCGAGCAAAACGAGCCGCTCGGTAAAGAGGATCGTGTCGTGGGGCACGAGCCGCCCGGGTCCCGCGACCTCGACGGTGAAGCGCTCGACCGCGTTGCTCGGGCGCAGCGACGGGTCCTTGAGGAGCGTGCAGAGCTGCGTGACGCGCCCGTAGCTGCTCCACGCCCGCGATGCGTTGCCGGCGCGCACGCGCAGTCGGTAGACGCTGTTGGGAACCAGGTCCAGGAGGGTCGTCGAGGTCTCGGGTCCTTCGTACATTGGCGTCCAGTCGCCCGAGGGCTTGGCGACCTTGGTGTCGGTGAGGCACTCGATAAACTTGGCTTCGAGAAGGTACCGCGCCGCGCCCGTGGCACTCGGGTACCACACGACGCGCGCCTTGGTCGCGAGGACGTCGACGACACCGGCGGCCGACGGCGCCTCTGGCAGCGTACAGACCGACAGCGCGCTGCTGAGACTGCTCGACGCATGGGAAGAGACGTGCCGGAGGCGGAAGAGGTACGTGGCGTTCGGCGCCAACCCGCGCACGTGGTAGCTTTTGTCGGTGCCGCGGTAGACCACGGCGGTCATCTCACTGCGCCCGGCGTCTGAGCGCTTGAGGACATATTGGACATCGGGCTTGGTCCACCAGTCCTTGAACTCTTCAAACGAAATCTTGCCGTCGTTGTTGGTGTCAAACGTCTCCATGTAGGCGGCGAGCCGCTCCTCGGACGGCGTGACGCCGAGCTCCGAGAGCAGCGTCTTGAACTCGGGCAGCTCCAAGTACCCGCTGCCGTCACGGTCGTAGCGCTGGAACTTGCCCGCAAAGTCGATGGCCGGGTGGTCCACCGGTGTCTCTTTCGCCCACTCTTTGAGAAGCTTGTGCACAGAGTCGTCGAGGACGTTGGTTTTGCCTTTGAGTGCGATGCTGCGCTTGTCACCGGCGGTCGCGTCACCCGGCGTCCAGCTCACGACGGCGTCCGTCACCCCGACATCGGTCGTTGTCGGCGCCGCCGGCGTTGGCAAGAGCGTGTTGACGATCGTCGGGGCGCTGTGCAGCGAGGCTTGGTCGTCGGCGTTGATGGCTTGCACGCGGAATTGGTACGCAGTTCCGGGGGTGAGGCCGTGCACGAAGAACGACGGCTTGCTGCCGCGGTAGATCTCTTCGTACTGTCCGTCGGCCTCGTGCACGCACTGCTTGAGGACGTAGCGACAGCCGCTCGAGACGGTTGGCTTGGCCTTGCGCGACACTTTGGATGACGCCACCGACTTGGCGTCGTCGTCAAAGAGGTGGAGGTCGTCGAGGTGGCCGTTGAACATCGCAACAAACTCGGTCCAGCTGAGCGTGTTGCTGTCGTTCGTCTCGATCGCGTCAAAGACGCTGAGCGGCACGCCCGGGGCCTCGGTCGACGTCGGCGCGGACGTCTTCTGAAGAAACTCGAGCAACCGCGGCTTGCGCTTTTCGATTTCCTCCATAAACTCGTCGCGCGAGATCTCGCCGTTGCCGTCGACGTCAGCTTCATCAAACACCGCTCGGAGCTCCTTGAGCTGTGCGTCGTACCACGCCGACGAGTTCCACGAGAGGTGGATCGTCGTCGGAGTCACCTTGACGGCCATCGGCGCCGGTGGCACACGCGGCACCGTCGTAAAGTACCTAGTGTCGACGTGAGGACCCTACCCCTCGACATCGCTTACCCAAAGGCATACGGCCCGGCACCAAAGGCGTTGAGCGCGCGGAGCCGCATCGCGTACTTGGTGTTGGGCAGCAAATTTGTGACAACGTAGTGGTACCGCGGTTCGCCCTGGTTATCGCTAAAGTCCTTCGGGTCCCGTACGAGCTCGGTGAAGACGTTTTGCTTGAAGCTCGCGCTGCCTTCGGCCCCGGATGTCTCGAGGATGTAGAACGCCGGGCCGTTGTTGCCGCGGACCGGCGGCGGGTGCCACCGCAGTAGTATCATTGTCGTCGGGTCCAGTGCCTCGTCGTCGTCGCGGAAGAGCACCGGGAGCTCGGGCGGCGCGCCGTCCGTGACCAGCTTTTGCAGCGCCCGGCGCTCGCGGTGTTCGATCGAGAGCCGATCGAGGACGGCGACACCGCCCGCGGCTTTTTGATCGCTCCAGCCCGCGGCGTCGCATGCATACGGCGCCGCCTCCTTGACCTCGCGCAGCGGCAAAACGGGTTTGCAGCCAAACCGGGCGAGCTGGCGTCGCTTGACGTGCGCGGGCAGCTCGGTGCGGACGCGGCCGCGCTCGGACGACGAGACCTGGAACGCGTTGAGCATGCCGCACTCGTGGCAGACCGTCTCCCACATGCACACGTCTTTGAGCGCAATCTCCGTGTCGCCGTGGCACTGGGCGGGGCGGCGGTCGCCTGTGACAGCAAGGAACTCCTTGATTGTGATCGCGCCGTCGCCGTTCGAGTCGAAGAACTCGACGATGCGAGTGCGTTCGTCCGGCGTGAACGCGATGCCGAGCGACTTGAGGAACTTGTGAAATTCAAGCGGCTTCATGGTGGCGTACGTGGCGAGCTTGTCCTCGTCCTTCATGTCGTCGTCCGCGTTGCCGTCCGCGACAGCCTTCTTGTGCTGCTTGTCGGCAAACGCAAGAAACGCCCCTTTGTAGTCGACGTCCTTCCGGTGCAGCAGCTTGAGAAAGACATCGCGGAGCGCCGACGAGGTCGCGTGGACGTCGCATGCGATCGGCGGGAAGCTCTCCCAGAGCACGCGGCAGCGGCCTTGGCTCATAAAGCCGTCCGACCACGCCATCCACGACAGCAGCAAGCCACGGTCCACCGCCTTCAACGCTCGCCCGGCCTCTTCCCAGTGCGCCGACGCGTTCTCGGATACGTCTTTGGGCTTGGGTGTTGCGTCGAGGAACGCGAGCGCCTTGTCCTTGAGCGCCTTGTGCGCGCTCCAGGCCGCAAACGCCTCCTTGGACATGCCCGACCGAGGGTTCTCCTTGGCCTTTGGCGCGTTTTGCTTCTCGAAGTGGTACCGGTCTTCCGAGAAGGCGCTGTCCGGGTCCTTGGCAAAGTTGGCCTTGATGACGTGGCCTCGCTTGAGGAGCACTTCGCGGCACTTGTCAAGGTCGCCACCGCGGCCCTGGAAGCCCTCGCTCATCGCATGCACGTACTTGAGGCCACTGCGCTTCATCATGTCGATCGTGCACGATGGAATGTCGACCTTCTTGGGCCGGACGAGGCCGTTGGTCGAAAAGTCAAAGCGCGGTGGTTTCCAGCTGCTCTTCTGAAGCGACGGCTCGATACTCGATGCTGTCGGGAGCTTGATGCGCAGCCGGTCCTTGCGCTTGAGCCACGCCTAGGCCCAATATGAGAAATGAGATTCGATACAGCGACGGCAGACGTTGTGGGCGAGCGCGCCTTCCTCGGCCTTCTCCTTCTCGACTTCGTCTTCTTTGTCCTTGATGGCATCGGCGTCGGCTTCGACCCACGAGAGCATTTTCTGAACGCCATGCAGCTTGAGGATCTGCACTTCCATCTCGGCGCGTGACTTGTGCGTTTGGCCCGGCAAAAGCGTCGTCGCAGCTTGCTTTCCCAGGAGCGAATTCATCTTGTCCTGAAGGATCTCGACCACGCGGTGCTGCGCCTTGACCCAGAACTTCTTGCAGAGCGACACAAAGATCTAGTCCTCTTTTCTATAACTGCACAGCGAGAAAGAGCGAGAAGCGCACCGCGTTGAGCTTCTTCTCGTCGGCCGAGAGGCAGCGCCGAGCTGCAATTTTGGCGGTGTCGCCTTTCTGCGGCTTGGCCGCGACGCGCCACTTGATGGTGAGGAGGTAGACGTTCTCGCCTTCGACGAGCTCCATGAGCTGCCGTGTTGCGCCACCAAACTTCTTGGCTTGGGCTTCCGTGAGCCGGACCTTCTCGAACGAGTGATTGGCTTTGGTCCAGCGCACCCAGTGGTCGCCGAGCGACCGCAGTGGGCAGGCGCACGGCCGCTGCAGCTTGGCGCCGTCGGGACCGAGGAGCACGCTGCACTGACTCTGCACGGTCGAGGCCATGCGCAGAGCGAGCCCCGAGATCTTGAGGCTGTTGAGCAGCCGGCCTTCGCCCATGCTGCTCACGCGCGTCGCAATGTCCATCGTACTTTCGTCGCTGCTGCTTCGGTAAGGCGTCAGCACGTCGGTCATCCTGTCCGAGATGACGCCGACCGTCGTGCCGACGCAGCGGTTGCAGATCGAGCACTTGGGCGCGGGGCACTGGCACCGAGTGCGCTGACGCGACACGGCGTGTGCTGGCTCGTGGCAGACACCGTCACAGTCGCACGCGTCGGTGCGGCCGACCTTGAGGAGGCAGTCGGTGGCTGCCAACGCCACGGCGACGTCAAACCACGGCGCCTCCGACGCGGCGCGGTCGGTCGAGAGCGCATGGAGGGCTTGGAGCACGCGCTCGTACTTGTCCTTCCGAGCGACCCACTGCTCAAAGTCAAACGCTTTGTCCTTGGCACTTTGTTTTTTGGGGCTTTTTAGCTGGTTGTCACTGGTCTTGACAGGTGGCTCGTCTTCAAACGGGTTTGACGCGTCGTAGAGGTCGAGGTCGTCGCCAGCGTCGAACGCCGGCGGCTCGTCGCGGCTCCTCGACGGCATCCTTCCAGTGGTTACACGTCCGTTATGGGAGCTAGCAGTTATTAGTGCGGTGGGTTAGTGATCGTCTCGTCTCAGCAGCTGGGCTAGATATTCTGTACATTAGGACCCGCAACTCGAAGTAGGTGAATGCGGGAGCACAAGGCGCCTTGACAAAACTACACTATTGTCAATAAAACCTGGTGTTTTGTTGGTTTAAACTAGTACGCTACCTACTGCTGCTTGCTCTTGCCAAAGTGCGTCGACCGAATGGCATCTTCGCGCGTCGCACACAAGAGGCTAAAGGCGGCGCCCGCTCCGAGCACGATACTCGCGAGCACCAAGTGCGCGAACGTCCGCGCGCCGTTGCGCGCCTCGGCGACGACGAGAAGCGTCATCGTGGCAAAGACAGAGACGCCGTCGACCACGAGAAACCACGACGGGATCAGGTTCGCGTCCGGCGGGTATGTGCACACAAAGTTCGCGAGTCCGTGCACGAGGTCCATAGCGTCCGAGTGAGCGAGAACGATAGCCAGTGAGGTCCAGTGCTGTAGCGTCAACGCCGCTGCAAAGGCGCGGTACAGGAAGCTCGCAGTCGTCGAGGCGGCCGCCGCCTCGGCGACGACCTTCGGGTGCGGCGCCAACCAGCGCACTGCCGGGTAGAGCAGCGGGAAGAGCGACGGCCAAAACTGAAATACGATGAAGGCGTGCGCAAAGACGCTGCCATGAGCATAGTGCATGGCATGGAAGACGACGGCAAAGGCGAATGTGCCGAGACCGATGAACCAGAGCAGCGCACCCGAGCCAAGCGTCGTGTCGCGAAGAGGGATCGCGCGCGTGGTCGCCAGCGGCTCTGGGTACGCTGCAAAGAAGGCCGGAAGCCAGAGCACCGACGCCGCAAAGAAGATGCCGCCCCATTGGTACGCCGTGCCAATGACGACTGGCCACGCGACCGGCCCACGCGGTCCCTGGCGCGTGGACTCGATACCCATGAAGAGCGCCATGGCGGCCACGCAGTTGACGAGCAGCGCGTTGATGATGTCGGCGATCGGCTCGGACGGCAGCGCTTGACTCTGTTGGAAGAAGTGGCCGATGATGCAAAGGGCGTTATCAAGGCCGTCGACGCCAAAGTACGAGGTCAACGCGTCGTCGAGTGGTCGAGTCTCTTGGTGCTCGAGACACTGCGCCGGGATCTGCCAGCGCACGGCGACGGGTCCGATGAGCGCCAACGACCCGAGCGCGATGGCGGCCGTCGCCACGAACCCCGCGCTGCGCATCGTTGATTGCGAGGAGTGTCTTTTCGGACAGGCGGAGTGGCGCGATGCCATTGGTCCAAAGTAGCCAATCATAACGCGAGATTCCTTCAAGATCCGACCACAGTCGGTTTGGTCCACTTGTGCATGGACAGGCGCTGGAGCTGAGTCGCCCAAGGGAAGTGCGATACACGCTGCATCGACTCACGCAAGACTGCAGAAGGGATGGTGGAAGGACCAGCGATCGAGCTTTGTGAGCTCGAAAGCGCCCCGTTCAATGACTTTACACGAAGGTTCTGGACTAAACTGAGTGAGGCTTGTGATCCCGACCAGAAAGTGATTCAGACCAGAGTGTGATCCAGTGGATGGGGCGGTCATCGCTTGTCCAAGTGATCGAAGTGATGAGTCATTGGGCAGTTTTGCTTCTTAACGTTTAAAGAGCGCTTTTAAATCTTACATTCAGCATTGCACGCGCCGTGCGACTGCAGCGGGAACGTAGCGTGGACTGCTCTGCTTTTCAAAGCGTCTTCTATCGCTGTGCCAACTTTGAGCGATTTCATTTCAAACGCGATGGTGTCGGCACGTGGCGTTGACGTCCTCGCGTGGTGCCTCTAAGATGGCACTACGATCTTAGTTGGGATCGTGCATCGCGTCTTTCTACCGCTATACGTCTCGAACGTCGACGCGACCTCGCTTTCTCCGCTCTCCGGAGCGCCCTCTACCTTGGTGCCAAGTCTTGGCCAATTCATTTTCAGGATCAACTGTGCGACCTGGCAACACTTGGCCAGTATAGTAAGCTTAGTAGAAAGAATGGGCGAAAAATGAAAAATATCCCAAAAATTCACGATCACGCGCAGGTACTACGTCATAGTACATCAGCAACTGAAGATGGGCACTTGCTCGTTTTGGGCACAGACGAGAGAAAGCGCTTTGCTTGACACGAACAACTGGGAGCGGTGGTCGCCTTGATCGACGGCGACAACTATATGACAACGCAGCACCTGCCAAAGTACACACATCGTGTGTGCTTGGCCGATCGGCTGGAGAACGCGGGCGCGGATACAAGTGACATGCAAAGGCGAACTCTGTTTACGATTACGGTGTGGGCGGCGCCATGCCGCCGCGGGCCGTCGGCAGCAGCGTCGAGCGGCGGAGGTCGATCGCAATCGGCGCCGTCGTCGCCTCGACCTGCGAGAGCTTGGAGGCGACCAGCGACGCCATCGCGTGCGCGTGGTCGCGCGCGTGGTTGGCCGACAGCCGCGTCTTCATGATGCGCTGGAACGACTGCAGCGGCTTGAGCGCCCGGAGCACGTCTAGCGGCTCCGACTTGGTCTCGGGCAGCGTCGCGTGCATCGTGAACCACGGGTGGTCGAGCAGCGCGGCGGCCGTGGCCCTGGCCGACATTCGATTCAACGTTAGTCGCGAAAGATGCGTCGCACCGGTCGGCAGGTGTCACGCGCAGCATGCGTCGCACCAGGTCCTACTCGAGAGTCTACGCAGCTAGTTGAAACATTGATACGAACCTGGGCTTCAGTCGAGATGTCGTCCCAGTACGGCGCGTCAAAGAAAAAATAGCCATAGCAAATGCACCGAAAGAGCTTCTGGACGTCTTGGATTTCATCGTGGTGGAACGGGGGGTACCCGCAGAGAAGCGTGTAAACGATGACGCCGGCGCTCCAGACGTCCGAGGGCTAGAAGACAATGTTGTACATCAATCGAAACGAAAATAGGAGTGCTCAACCGTGCTGTAGGGCTGGCCCAAGATCACTTCCGGCGCCATGTACCCGGGCGTGCCCAGCACCTCGGTCAAAGCAGCGTCCTTCGTCGGCAGCTGCACGGCAAAGCCAAAGTCGACAATCTTGAGCGCTGCGTTCTCGCCATTTGACTCGAGCATGAGGTTCTCCAGCTAGTGCAAGCATCTTTTGACCGCCATGACGGAACTACTCGTGTACCTTGAGGTCGCGGTGGACCACGTTACGGGCATGCATGTAGGCCAGCGCTTCGAGGAGTAACTTGACGAGCCGGCAAATGTCGCGCTCCATGAGCTTCTCCTTGCTTTCGTGCAGCTTGGCAAAGATGTCGCCGCCCGTGAGCTCTTCCATAACGAGCACGTACGTCGTCGGCTCCTTGTAAAACCCGCGGCAGCGCAGAATGCCCGGGTGGTACATGCGCTTGAGCAGGTACGGCTCGGTCAAGGCGCACTCGAGCGCGCCCGCGTCCAAGCCATGGCGCGCATACACCTTGCATGCGTACTTCTTCTTGGTGGCGACCTCGTCGCACTCGTAGACGGTGGCATACGCCCCGGCGCCGAGCTTGCGCCCGAGGAGGAACTTGGTGTGGAAGTCGCGCAGGGCGTCGCGCTCGATCTCGACGAGCGTCGATACGTTGGTCGCCTTGGAGTAGCGCAATAAGCTCTCACAGGTCGGATCCGCGGGCGCCGGTACGCCGCAGCACCAGCTGGCCACCGCTCCCATGGTGTGGCGTTTTGCGATCTTCCGAAAAAACGAAATCACACCAATTACACGATTTAGAAAAACGTAAATGGTGTACTTATCCGGATATCGGCCAGCACTATCAAGTTGACAGTTTACATGAGCTCGCCCTGGTACGCAGCGTTGAGCTCTCGGAAGCGGTACTTGAGCTCGAGGGACTCGAGCAGCGAGGCCTCGACCCCGCGGTAGCTCTCAAGCATCTCTTCCACGTGCTCCAGCTGCGACTGGTCGTACTCGGTGAAGAACGCCGTGAGCTTTTCTCGGAACGGGTTAGGGCGCAGGTCCGCGCGGAGTGTCGCAGCTTTTGTTGTCGCCGGTGTGTAAGGCTCGCCGTTGAGCATCGCTAGGTCTTGGGCCGTCAGCGTCGTGGGCACTTCGACCGGCGCGGGTACGTCGACCGGCGCCGGAGCCGACGCAGTGTCGACAAGGGACCGCATTTGACTCAGAAGCAGTTCGTTCTGCCGCTTGAGGCGCGTGTTGACCATGCGTGCTTCGTGTGCTTCGGCGAGCGCGACGGCGACTTGCCCTGCCCACAGAGTTATGCAGCAGAAAATATTGTGCATACGGAATACCGTCGGTCTGACGCTTGACGTTACGGAGCTCGGTCACGAGCACCTTCTTGTGGCTGCGGTACTTGAGAATCTGTTGGCGCGGTTGACGACGTTCCATGGTCAAGCTAAGTACGTACCTGCTGGTTGAGGTCTTGGATCATGTTGCGGTGCTCAACCAGCTCGGCGTCGTACTCGGTCTTGGCGACGGCGAGGTCCTTACGTTGTATATTGAGGCACTGCGCGAATCAATGTCGATGCACCTTGGCCAGCTGCTCAATGCGCGTGTTGGGAATGACTTGCTGCAGCGAGTAGCCGAGCTGCGCGCGGAGCCGAATGAGTGCGACTTCGGCCTGGCCGAGCTCCTTCTCGAGCGCCATCCGAGCGTCGTCCGAGAGTTTCTTGGCCGTTGGCGACGACGATGGCGACGCATCGCCTCGGCCCGTGTCATCTTGCGGGTCGACGTATGTATCAAACTCATCAATCTAGTACAAGTCGATAAAAACGCGCGGTCGACGAGGATCGAACCATCGCCCAGCGGTGCTTCTCGAGCAGGAGCGCGTCCCGTTCGGCTTGGATCGCTGGCCACTGCTGACGCTCTCGCCGGAGGCGCTAGCCGCACCCACTCGGTAAAGATATAGTGAATTCGACTTCAAACGTACGTCGATCTCGCTCTGGAGAGCTTCGAGACGGCCGTCCTTCTCTTGCGACGCGGCCGCCTCCGTTTCCTGCATCCATCTGCATCGAAAGTACGCAAGTGAGAGAGTCGTACGTGTTTTGCCGTAGCCATTTGCACGCGGGAGAGCGCTTGGTCGCGCTCCACTAGCACGTCGTCGCATAAGACACTGAGATCTTATCGCAACTTTTACCGGCGAGCCGTGCGAGTGCGTCTTCGAGTGACTCCTACGGGATGAATATTGTCAGGGGTGTTGTTTGGGACGAGCAGAGTCATCTACCACGCGCTGGAGGAGCTGCATGTTGAGGCCGTTGAGCTCCTCCATGAGGCTGTTGCCGATCGAATTGGGCTCGTCGTCTTTGGGCGTCGGCGGCGCAGCGGCTGGCAGCAGCGCAGGCCGCGACCCAAAGAGCTTGGAGGCGGTCGCCATGGTGGTGTTGACGAGTCCGGACACGAGCCAGTGCCCGTTGAGGTCCAGTGACGGCATGTTGCTAAAGGCGTAGCGCGGTAGAAGCGACGCGAGTGCCGGCGACGACATGGGCGTAGGCGTTGGCAGCGCCTTCTTGTGCAAAAAGTTGCTCGTCGGTCCCGCCTCGAGCGCCTAGAACGCAATTCTTAGCCTCGCAAATGCCAGATCGAGCGCGTACGTGGGTCAAGGCGTCGGCGGCGAGAAGCGCCGACTCCATCGAGCTCTTCTCGACTACGTGTGCGACGTAATGCACCGTCTTTCTACCGTGCAAGGCTCAAGCATCCAACGAAGCCATCACGCTTGTACCCGCGGAGGCGCGAGTAGGTATTGTCCCACGAGAGCGTGAGCACACCAGGCTTTGGACAGCGGTACATGCCTAGTCACGGTCCGACATCATGCAACGGCGACCGTCGTCGTTGTCGTACCTTCAACGGGCTTGACAGTTGTCTGGTAGCTACGAGCAGGCATCGTCGAGAAGGCGCCTTGCAACGTCGACATACCGCGTCGTTGCGTGGAAGACCTCTGTGTACATGGGCGTGGGCACGTGAAAGTCGGCGTTGAAGTCAATGTCAAAGTCCTCGACCTCAAACTTCCATACGAGCACTTGGCTGCTGTTGGTCACTTGCAGCTGCACGTCGTGCTTGGAGCCGCGCGGAATGACCACCTACATAGGAACTTCTTTCGCATCTTCCGGCAAACGACGAGTGAACCTTCTCGTACTCGAAGGGCTGCAGGAGAAAGTCGATCGCGGTCATGTGCCCCGTGTTGTTGCCGAGGTCGTCGGCCAGGAGCGCGTGGAGCTCGGCGGTCGCCTTCACGGAAGCATCTAGCATAGGCGCATGGTCGGCCCCAAGCGCTATCGCAGACGCGTACGTGCAAAGTAGGCGTTGAGCTCGGCGCAGAGGTGCGTGAGCGCAGCATCGGTGGGCACGCCCGGGAAGAGCGGGAAGCTCGGGATGCTATCGCAAGCGGCGGCGACGAGGCTCGCATGGAGGCCTTCGAGGGCGGCGAAGGAGCGCTCGACGCATACGACCTGGTCGTCCGCGTCGCTCACGACCATCTGCACGCTGCGCCCCGAGATGGACGTCGCCACGACGTTCATGCTTGTGAGAATGATCTCGGTGCGTGCACGGTCACAGTATTTCCAATTTCTCTCACATGCAAATAGTGTGATGACGCTTTCGACCTTGAAGTTGGCACCGTTGACACTACAATGATGCTAGCCGACATGCGAGCCAATACTCTCGATCAGGACGATCGCCATTCATTGCTACAGACGCCGTACTACTTTGGCCATCGCAGAGGGGCCGCTTTCGCGCAGTCGTGTTGGCCCAGCGTCGTCGACGAAGCAACATCACTCACGGAGGCAGAAGAGATGATGATATCAGCTGCTGCTGCGTCGACTGTCTCGTAGTGTACACGCTAATGCTTGCAGGACGATAGGCAGCTCATGCAGCACGCGCTGCTTGGAACTGCGGTCATCGATTGCGTCTTTGAGGAGCGTCTTTCTCGCACACTATATTCTGGACACGTGCAATCCTTGGAAACGCATAGGAACAATGGGCGACCGAGGCTGTAGTGTAATAGTGTTATTCGCAGCTTGCGGGCAACTAGTACCGTCGAGCCAAGCACCCGGAGCATCCACATGGTCGTCGCCGGCACATGCAGGAAGCTCCACACGCCGGTGGCCTACCGCTCTTCGGCATGCGCAGTGCATCGACCTCCTTGGGCTATCGCCAGCGGTTCAACCTCTGGGTAGATCCGACAGCGTATCGCCTTGCATCTTTCTTCCGGCCATCGCAAGGTACACTGGACGCTAATCAGCTTACTAGTACACTGGAAGCAAACCGCGGTGCCACTTTGCCTCGACTTGATACCCCGATACGTATTCCATTTGAGAGGTTTGTGTATACCTCTGCAATTGGATATTTTGCGCCACTCACGACGCGCACGAAGACTTGAAGCAAGCGACAATGGCGCGTTGGCCCCGAAAAGTCAACGCTGGACCTTCGCTGCGCTGCGGTGAGCAGATTTTTGTCTAGGCCAACGCGCCGACGTCCGATCTCGCGTCGTCGCACCGCCAACTAGGGTTCGCCACCAAGTGCAGTCCATGGGAATGACCCGTTGACGCCTCTTCGTCATCAAGCTCGACGCATGCCAGTAACCGCTTTGAGATCTTCCCGCGTGACGCTGTACTTTTCGAGGACCCAGCCGCCGATGCAGTCGATGCGCTTGGTCTCGCGGTATACAGACGAGCGCGTACGTGGTCGTTGGCGCACCGACGAGACGTCGAGCTGGTGGCAGTGGTGTAAAAATCGATACCTCGATAGATATAAGATTGCAGAGTGACCCGAAATACACCTCTGACATTTGATGCACTGCCACTCACACACACCATGCGGTTGACCGTGCAAGAGCGCATCGATGCCCTCGTCGTCTACCGCGCGTGCTTTGGCAACAGCTGCGTCCCGAGCCGGTTCATCGTGCCACACGCCGACCCGTGGCCGCATGAGCTGCGCGGCGTCGCGCTCGGTGACGAAATCCACTCGCTGCAC